TGCCCTTAGGGTTTAGGGTTGCAGCGCTTCTGTAACTTTCGGGGCTTTTTAAAGGGTCTATGGGCTGCCAACTTCCGAGGTTGCCAGGGCAAAGCCCTAAGTTTAAGACCCACTCCGACCAGTTCAGTTTTGTCATGAGAAAAACAGGCAGGCCCTGAAAGGTGCCTTACCCTAAGGGTTTAGGTTTAGGGCCTAAGCCCTAAACCCTAAAAGGCCTATCTGTCAAGTTTTCATGGCCGGGCCTACAAAAAAGCAGCCCAAATAGAAACCTCCCGAAGCGCCTGCGCTCGATGGGAATCCTTGCTCAAGGCCGACATCCAAACGGCAACCCCCTTTTTTCCCCCCAAACCACAAGAGCCCAAACCTGACCTCGGAACCCTAAGCCCCGAAACATCCCAGGCCACTAGGCCCTCTCTACGAATCCCAGAGCTCAAAGCCTCCAAAAAAAAAGAAGACGGAAAACCACAGATCCTCGAAATCCGAAAACTCGGAAACTCCCAGTAGCAATTCCAAGGTCTGAAACGCCAAAGCCCTAGACACTAACGCCAGACTCAAGACCACCCCCCCCCCCCCCAAACATACAAAACCAAACCTTACACCAGCAACTCTAAAATTCCAAACTAATTACCCAATGCCCTGAACTGCGCATCAACACCTACTGAAGAGCCGTCCATAACCCCAAGTTTTCCCCGAAAGCATGCCGAGCCCTACATCTTCATGCCCTAAACCCTCAACCCCAAAAATTCTCCACCCCCTACTTCCTAAACGCTGAACACCAAACCCTAACCACTAAACCCCTCTAAACCCCCCCGGAACCCTTCACTCAAAGCCCTACACTCCGATATGCTTCGCCTCCTCTCCATCTTCCAGGCTCCCGAAACCTGAGATCCACTTAGTAGGTAGGAGCTAGGATTAGGGGCACCCTTGGAGATATAGACCCTCTCAATAAGCTCCATTTTAGGTTAAGAAGGGTCCCCTTGAAGGGGCCTCCCTAAGATTATCTAGGAGTAGAGGGGCCTTCACACTTGGAAGGAGGGTTTGGAAGTCCTTCAGAATCTTGCTATGATATTCGGGAACACCTAGATTGGGTTTTGGGTTTACTCTGCTGGGGGATACGATATCACGAACTAGTTAACCAGTTCTAGAGCTCATGACTTCAGGGCCTCACAATCAGGACGCTTCTGACCACATACATCCGGACAAGTCCAAGCAAAGTCTGCCGACGACGTTGTTGACAGCCAAAGCTCGATGGTTCCCCGACACCGGACAAGCCACAAAGGGCGTTCGGGTTGAGGGTTTCAGGGGTTGCTGCTCTCCTGGTGGGGGGCGGCAGGGGATTTGGGCGACGTCTTTGAGGTGTCGGCTTGACTTTGCAGAATTTGCTACGTACGGGCATGGCTATAAAGACACAGCAGAGGCATGGGATGTGGGGCTGGTAGCCAGGCGCCTTCAAGAGTATGTGAGTTGGGGGCTTCATGACCCTAACGCAGTGGCTCTTGACCCCAAGGAGTGCTGAGAAGGGTTTGAGAATTCTTGCCTTTCCGGGTGAGGACCATACACGCACCTGAATTACCGCGCGCTTTTCTGCAGGTTTTCCGGTTTCGAGGCTTTCGCACTGGATTCTAGGCGCTTAAAGAGCAGACTTTACTTTGGGACGGGGGGGACGGGGGTTGGGGGGGGAGGGCTGATTTGGTTTTGGTGCCGCCAACTTGGTCCAACAAAAATGGGCTCTGAACCCATGCCTGCCTGCAACAGTCACGACACTGCAGACATGCCTCTTAGAATGACATTCTGGAGCCTTGTAGAGAAAACATGCGACGCCCTAAGCTTCAAGGCTATATGCTTCTTAAAAGTCATTTTCACAGGCATATCTGCACTGTCTTGACTTTTGCTGGCAGGCCTGGGTGAAGTGGCCATTCCACATATTCCTGGCTTCCGAAAACCCCTGCGGTAACTTATCGTGTGACCCAGTTAGGGTCACACGTTGTAGGTGGCTCAGGGTGCTGTATTCCTACCATCTGCACGCCTAACTATGCCCTATAACTAAAACCCAAATGCCAAGGTGCCGGGAGATAGGAATCGCGAAGGCCCATCGCTGGTGAGGGGACGGCTGCACCTGGGGCAAAATCGGCGATGTTCTGCTCCATGCGTCCCGTTTATAAAATCTAAAGGTCAACATGTCGTGGACGCCAAGTCTTCCCCATCTTCTTTGCGAGCTGGCATGCTTATAGCACCCCGGCAAGTTATCCCTCAACCCTGCACCCTGCACACCCTGCGAGACCCTTTTTGGCACAGACCCTGAGAGATCCTAAACCCCAAACTGCTTCGAGACACTCGGCCAGAACGGCCGACTTGAAGACAAACCAGTCAATCAGTTTGCTGCTCGGGCTTGCTATCAGCCGGGAGTCCCTTCTGTACGGTACACCTCGTGCCGCTTGAAATCCTACTTGATTGCTCGAATATTGATCGGGTGTGGTTGACGCGCCGCTGTAACTTCAACGTCTACAGCACGAGCGGTGTTGCTTGCATTAGCTTACTGTCTCTCCACAAACCATATTCATCTATATGCCCAACAAGTCCACACAGACATCAAGGAAATTATGAGTGCGTTTTGGCAGAGCTTTGCCTAGAATGGCCCTCACATCCCAAGCTGCAAGGATGTTCGTGTTTTATCTCCTTTGGTCCCTGTTGAACCAGGAGCTGGCGTACTCGTGCCTGGAGGTTGGGGTCTATAGCCGGGCTGATGGCGGGTCGAAAGACAGGCAATTTCTACTCTCTCCTAAAAAAAATGCACCAGGCTCAACATAAGTCTAAGCTTGTCCGTGCCCAGATCAATCACCGAGTCATTGAGGCCCAGAAAGATTGCAGTTCTCCCCCTGAGTAAAACCAAACCTCCGACCCCGACCCCTTCGCCTCAAACCCCAAAAACCCGTAATACAGGGGCTTGAGCGTTACGAATACTAGTCCTCCGGGTTCCGTATTACACACTACTCCTGATTCTTGCGGCCCCATGTTGGGAATGCAAGACTGGATGGCCCAGGCACAGGGAGCCCAGTGGGTCTGTGAAGTCTGCCTCGGGACGCGTCTTCGCCACCTCCTGCTCAGGGTTCGTTCAGGGTTCGTTTAGGGTTCCGGTGTACTGCAGTTTAACCATGGTCTGTTGTGGGAGGGCATGGTGCTCTTTCCATTGGGAGGTATGGAAAACGGAATTTGTGGGTCTAAGGTTTCTGGGGGAGCCTACTGTAATAAGGAGACAAGAGCATAGGATCCGGGTAGCAAGACAGACTCTTCCAGAAAAGGCCAAACTGAATTCAGCACACCCAGGACCATTTCTAAGATAGGAGCTTGGTCTTCATGGCACTCCATGAAGATCCTCTGTAACGATCTGTGCTGTGACTGGGAGCGGATTTCGAACTGAAGGTTTCGGAGCTCAGACTCGGATCCCTTGCTTGGGTTTACTTGAAGCCTCGTCTCCCGCAACTTGGCAGAACGGAGGTCAGACGACAGGTTAGGTACAGTATGTGAGGGCTTACACAGTCCAGCAGTACCCCAGGGATCCAAGCCATGCCCGAAATGTAAACCCTATAACAGAGAAGACCTGGCTAAACCGGCATCCTAGTTCGGAAGAAGTTAGGATAACTAGATAGAAGGTCATGCGCCTTGCAATAGGTATGTGAAAGAACAATTCCCCATCAAAGCATGCAGTAACTAGGTGTTTTTTCAACCCTGAGACACGGCCCTCTTTCCTCAACACCTTATAATAAGTCGCCTGTCCAGGATTACAGGGACAGTGTCTCCACAATGAACCCTGAAACCTACAGAGCCTCCGTCCCCAACAGGAACCTTAGGCCTCAAGCCTTAATAAATCTTAACTGCTGAGTTCAGCCCGAACCTCGGCACTCAGCTTCTTCATGGGGCCGGTCTTCGGCCCCAGCATCGGGCAGAAGGCGGAGGACGGCTTCAGTTCTCGGAGTTGGGGATCCAGGGTGTAGACGTTTTGGGGTCGGAGCTTGAGAGTGAGGGCTCGGAGGTCTCCAAGTGGGCTCGTCGGACTCGGGCTATGCCTGAGGAGTGGTTGAAGGTTTCTGGGGCTGCCCGGGCCTCCGGGATTGAGTATTTTGAAGAGTTGTTTGAGGCTTCCTAGAGTTTTTACGCTTTACGGATTTGGGGTTGGCGTTTTCAAGTTCAGCCGAGGGCTGCGACTACTGCAGCCAAGTGCAACGGCGTTTATGGAAGGCTTCCTAGTACTACTTGTTGCCACATTAAACAAGTTCAGGCGCTCATTGGCCGAGTTTGGTGGTGCCCACCTGTGAAACTTCCTACGATGCCTACGGCGCCCCGACTTTGCAGGACTTTTCGGAGCCAAAATGATGGCAGTAGGCTCGGGGCTTGCGCTTTTAAGGGGGTTCAGGGGTTGGGGTGTAGTGCTTGCGCTTTACGAGTTGCGGTTTGCACGTGGCCTTTGTCCTCAAACAGGGGTGGCTGATAGAAAGGGCTCATGGATAATGTCGGCCCCAAAACCAAGCTGTTTAGGGTTTCGGGCTTAGGGTTTCATGCCACCAAGGGGCCTGCTATCTCCATGCCCTACTGACTAACGCTGCTCGAACTGGCGACTGAAGCTCTACTGCTCAGCTCTTTTGACGCCTTGGGCGTAGAAAAGGATTCTGTTCAAACGGACTAAAGGCCCGATCCGGGTGCAGATTCCGTCTGAGAGCTTCTGACATTAACATGCCATGCGGAAAAACGTACAAAGTACATATGCACCGATCAACCGGTGCCGAAGCTTCCGAGAAAGGAAATATGATATATTGCTGGCAGATCTGGGGTAAATCCTGCTGCCCAAGCTTGAAGCAAACGAAATGCGAAATCCCGCTGCACAGGCTTGAAGCAGACGAAATGCTTGGCTCATTAGAAGCACCGAAGCGAAAAACAACTCGACGAATACCTTCACAATCACATTGTCAACTGCTCCTGTCAAGGCATCACAAAGATTCCGCCACCATTGGGTCTTCTGGGTCTGCTTTGAGAGCAAGAGGCTCATCGAAGAGCGGCTGAATCTCCACGCTGGCCATCTGCCGGGGGCTGTGGCCACGGCTGTTGGGGAAGTCCGGGTCAGCCTTGGCAGCCAGCAGCAGGGAGGCCAAGGGCCGATTTCTCAGGAGCGCTGCGAAGCCTAAGGGAGTTGAGCTGGACTCGGCCAGGTACCGAAGCAGGGGGCCATCCATCCCACAGCAGTTTGCCAACCTCGAGCCCAGCTCCAGCATCTGAAATAGGCCCGTCGTGCAGCCCGGCTGGTTCACGTCTGCCCTCGCATCGAGCAGCAGCTTAGCATGAGCGAGACTCACCCGGGGGGTGGCCTTAGAAAACAGTGTCGTGCATGTCAAGGGTGACTTGGAGTGCCCGCCGTGGGAGTCGTTCACGTCCGCCCCTCTTTCCAGCAGTCGGGCAACAACCTGCCGTTTGCTTAAATCGTCCTTACTAAACTGCCTAGGAAATTGAACGATGTTCACACAAATTAATTGGTGAGAGCAAATTTTCTCAGACAAGGCAGCCTCCACCGGCCCACTTTTTGAACAAGCCAATGTCAGGGGGCTTATCTTGGGGTATGACATGCGAAGGTTAACGTCCGCTCTATGCTCCAGCAAGACATCCACTGCTTCGGCATCCCTGGCAAGCCCAAGGACAGGATTGCATGGTGCGAAGGTGCAGTTCGGATCAGCTCGAAGCATGAGAAGTCCCCGGGCAGCTGCAAGGTTGTTTAACTGAATTGCCAGAATCAGCGGGACATAATTCAAGATGTCCATACTGAGAATGCTCTTGCACTTTGCTCCCACGGAAGCTTTTGCCTCTACCAACGAGCGAATGAGGGAAGGCTCATCCAGGATGGCGGCGCAGTGTAGCCCGCCCATGTTTCTCATCTTCACTGCTGTCTGCAAGTTTGGAAAACCAAAATATGACAGAAAAGAGTCCAAAGTCCATGAACTGGCTTGTCCGAACTTCTTCGCACATATTCCTTTCAGAAATCTGCACAATCCGGGCTCTTCTTGATGCTTGTCAAGGAATGACACTCGTGCCTGAAGGGCGAAATGCACAATGTCCATAATAGCAAGTCGGTCCTCCTCCTGCGTAAACTCACCCTCGTCCGCTGATGCAAAAACCCAGTCTTTCGGCATCACAAACTCCGCATGATCGGGACCATAGACTGCGATCATGGGCAGGTGGCTGTGGTTGGAGAGCTGTGAACACCACAGTTCGCACCTACACCAACCGCGCTCCAACCATGTCTCGTAATCGCAGAGTGAGCCGGAATCATGGTGGGGCAGGCCTGGAACCAAAGCAACAAAGGCACCGCAAACATCCACATAAGATGGGATCGAGTGCACTGCCAGCCGCCTTCCTGGTTCCCAGCCAGGGTCTTGTGGCACAGAGAACCAATCCAGCCATAGGTATCCTCGCCTCAGGTCGCTCAGGCTTAGACCATACTACGAGTATCTTCCACAAGCCACAGGGACTTTCTTAGAAAGGGCCAGCTCCGCAATTTAAGAACCCCCACTGCTTGCAAAATTGAGAGCGATATGGATCAATGCGTCTCCGTTGAAATCCAAGTTGCAGGAGCTGCTCGCGTTCCGCCCGGACCATCTTGCGATTTCCCTTGAGGAATTGCGTGACCAGGTCAGAGTGCAAGGACATGGAACCGCCTCACCCGGACTGGACATGCGAGTTTGGGTTTGCCACAGAAGGCAGAACATCATAATTGTCAGCCTCATAACTCAACTTCTCAAGTTTCGAAAACAATTCGCGGTGTGACTCCGAACCCCTGTTAGCATCTGCTATAGACAGGCTTGTTTGCGGGGTAGATCCTCGACAGGGTGCGGGATGTCCCATCTAGCTTTGTCATTGCATGTCGAAACAGCGCACTGCATCAGCGTGCCTGCCGACATGGTGCAGTTGTTGCAGTGTGCAGGCATGGGCGTACTTCCAGCATCTACCAGCAGAGTTGGCCGTTCACTTTGCTAACCTAATGTCCCGGCCTGTTGAACAGTCTATCTGCCCGTGAGCTCAACACCAAGCTCGAAATTCGAAGTACATGTCCGAATTTCCAAAAAAATTCAAGGCATGCCATTGGCTCACCCAGCCGCTGGTAATGCCAAGCAATACCTGGCGCAAGACCTTCAGCTGAGCTCCAGCGGGGTCTGGATGATGACGGCTCAGCCACCTTGGTCTTGGTGCTTCCTAGCGATCCTAGACCGAAACCCGGACTGCGCAGTAGTTTTTCGGGAAATTCCAAGCTTGCCACAGTTCCAAGTTTGGTTGGCCCGATCCTACCCAACTGGAACCTGATCAAAGTGAAAAACGACGGCCAATGTCTTTTTGTCGGGCATCTTGTTTTGTGACCCCGAATATCTTCCCAGCCACTGGTGGGAGACGAAGATGCAGAAGCTGCCTGGCCTGTGCTTCACGAGCAGCCCAGAAGCCCGAAGAGCTTCGTGGGGCTGTGGCACCCCACTCCTGGGTTCTTCTTAAGGGATCTAATTTAAGTTACCACAATAGGCATCTATAGTTAATAGTGAATAATATGGTTTCCTTATTATGGCAACTTAAATTAAATCCCTTAACAAGAACCCAGACTCATGGCCATCACGTCCGATACCTTCACCACCCACATGGGAAAGGCACGCTCATGACTCACATGGCTGTGATCACTGGAGGCACAGTTCCCCATGGTGCCAGCTCGGGACACGTTTGAGCCCACCGGCTACAGTTCAAGCTGAAGAGCCTCCATCACGGGGTTTGGGAGCATACAACTACTGGGCTACGTGACAAGAAACTTACCGAACCATGCTCCAAGACACTACAATCAACCCCAGACATCGCAGCTTGAGTGGTCTCGGCTGCACTGCGGCTGAAAGACAGGGCATCATACATGACGACAGCAGAGGTGCTGTGGGGTCGGATGTGGGTCGGAAATATTATGACCTCTGCAGGCCGTGATGAATTTTGAAGGGTGAGAGGTTTGCCTCGACATCTAAACATGGCACGCGACGCTTCCAAAACGAAAATCTACCCGACGCTCACCCCACGCCGAAAAAGCTCGAGCATTGAATCAACACATCCGAACCGCCATCCCCATAACCCTACAAACATCAAAAAGCTTCGGGCCGCAGATGATTCGTGTCCGCCTCCCTTACAGCACATGTGCATCTAGACTTCCTAGGCCGTCCTCAGAAGCCCCCCACGCTACATGACATAAACCGTCACCACTTGAACCCGGTTGCATCCGAAACCGATTTTTTGTGCAGCTCAGCAGAGGAAGCCATGCCAAACCCATCACATCCAGACGAACACTGCCACCGGCGGCTACAAAAGCTACAAAACGGCTGAGGATCTTGATTCTCCTGACTCACAGGAAGCCCTTCAGGCCGAAAGGATCGGGAAGACTAGACATCGAAGGAACCTGCATACGGGTGCAGTGCAGACCGTCTGGATGCCCTCGCTGGCAAGAGCTTCATCGCATCTGCTGCACTCTCTCGGCCCTACGTCCCTAGGCCCTAAGCGGCCCTAAGCGAAAACTGTGGCCCGATCACCTCAGGAAGCCACGTCTGACATCCGGAAGACCTGACGGTCCAGGAATTGTTCGTTGCCCAGGGTGCTGCAGTTGATTCGAGTTGCTTCGAGTTGCTGCAAGTGCTTCGCCGAGCGCACAGCTGGCCAACTAGTCCTACAGGAAAACCCAAAAGCGATAAGGCTTCAGAAAGCATCCTTCTCGTCATGACACCCGGATATACGGTGACCCTTAAACAGAGAGCCTCAACCCAAAACAGAGCTTTAGGAAGCCTGGGGCTTGGCTTGGCTTCCTGACCGCCCGGAACGAGTTCCTAGGGTTTTGACGTGAAAAGTTTAGTCAAGAGTCTACCAAAATCGCAGGTCCGCGACCAGAAAACCTATGGGGCTTATGGCACGCGCCAGTTACGGGTTTAGGCAAGTTCGGAAGTTTAGGGTACTTGCGTTAAGGGCTTATAGGGCTACCAGTTCGGAGCAAGAAGTCATTCACTGATCAGATATGTCCCGAATCGGCAGCTCGAGGAGGTGAGAGTTCCCACCGGGGCTTACACGGTGGGTCTTGGTCGCGAGATGCGTGAGCCACGGTCGATCACTCCTCGTCTCCCCGCCTTTGGGTGGACCCAGTTTTGAGGCCGCAAACCCAAACTCCGAACCACATGCCCTCCATCCCAAACCCCGCAAGTGATCCATCCTACCCGAAATCACACCCTCACCCCGTTCTTCATGAGTTACCCCAACAATACAACCTGAACTTTTAACATACCTGGCTTCATAACCCTAGGCCCCAACTGTTGCATTAAAACTCTCAGGACTTCAAGAAACCCAATGAAAATCATACAACCGTATGTGTGTATATATATATACACATACATACACCTAGTAATATGTATATGTATATATGTATGTTTGTATGTATGCATGCATGCATGCATGTATGTATTGTATATATATATATATGTAATGCATACGCATGTCTATCTATCTATCTATATATATATATTTATTTATTCATTTATTTATTTGTTTATTTATTTATTTATAAACTCAAACAAAGCGGATGATCGCCCACCTCTGTCTCCGTTGATCTGCTTGCATTTGTGCGAGAGTCTACGGCCGCTTCTACCTGAGGCCAAGGGTTTCTGTTGGGGTTTGGAGTGGAAAACTCCTAAACCCTAGCCCTAAAACCCCTAAGCCCTAAACCCTAAACCCTACGCCCAAAGCCCTGAAACCCTAAGCCCTAAACACGAAAACCTGCTGCTACTGTTTCTGGCTTCGAGCGTCAGGGTTTCGAGTTTTAGGTTTAGGCCTTCCGGTAGGGTGCTTCCTCTCAGGGCCCATCGGAAGAGCAGCTACCCAAACCCATTGAAAGGCGAGGGGGCCTCGGCGGCGATCCGCCGCTTCCGGCGGATGGTGACGGCTCCGAAGGGACGTCCCGGTCCCGAAGGCGCTTCAGCGCCTTGAAACACATAGGTAATGCAGGGGGCCTAGGATGATTCGTCCAGGGCTTTGGGGGTACATCCTTGTAGGGTTAGAGCAAGGAACACTACGGAACAATGTTGGTAATAATTCAGTGCTCTATGTTAGGCCCACCCCTGGTTGAAACATCCCACTACCCAAGGACCGTAGCAAGCCTACATTGGAGCTTCGGGGTTTGGATGCGCTTAGGGTTGCTCCAGGGCTTTTCAAGCTGAAGGCTTTCTGTTGTAGGGCCAAGGGGCTCTAGTTGCTGGTCGAAGGGTGTGGGTTTGGGCTTGGGGCTTGGGGCTTGAGACTGGATGGGGTTCTGGGGTTTGGGTGGTGGGTATAGGGTTTGGATTTTGTGCTTTCGGGGTTTGGTTTTTGGAATTAGGGTTGGGCGTTTAGGAGTAGGGCTCCAAACTGAGGGTCGTGGGTTTTGGGTAAGTACTTGCAGAGACTTCTTTGGGTTGTGGTTCAAGTTTGGGCACAGGGATAGTGTGTAGAAAGGGTAGGATTTAAGATGAAGAGGACATCAACATGCCTGGACAGGGTTTTGTGAAGAGCAGGGATTCTAGTAATCCTGCTGCTCTCACTTCCGGGCATTGGCTTAGGCCTGTCAAAACTGATTCAAAGGCAACTAAACGTCTATTCCCCGCTATGGCTCTATGAGGGATGGAAAAAGCTCGAAATGAAAATCCTCACCTGCCAGGAGCTCTGTGACTTCAAACCCTAATCAAACGCTGAACCCTGTTTTAGCCCGGACTGGGGTGCCGGCCAGCACGAAACCCGAAACCCTCAACCCCTGACTCTTGGAGACGAAAACTCAAGCCGGCGCAGGCGCTCGACCCCAGCATCATCAACACACAAAAGTGCCCCCCCCAACCCTGATGCACTGCGCAGATACGTATGTGCACATCATACACACGGGTTATGTAAAATCAAACCAGTAAGTAGACAGGTTCATGCGTGTGCGTTTATGTCTGTACGCATTTATATATTGTATGGATTAGTGTGAATGTTGTTCTATTGGCAGAGACACATGTACATGTGTGTATATGTATATATGTACTTACACATGTATGTGTGTTCACATGCGTCTATATATACACATACGAGTAGAAAGGAAGATAGATAGATCGATGGATAGATAGATGGGTAGCTGGATAGATGAATAGATAGATAGATCGATCGATCGATCGACAGATAAGCAGATGGAAAGATGGCAAGATTGGATGGATAGATGTATGGATGCTTGGATAGATAGATGGATAGATAGATGGGTAGATGGATAGATGGATAGATAGATAGATAGATACATAGATACATAGATAGACAGACAGGTAGACAGATAGACAGATAGGCAGATAGACAGATAGACTCAGATAGATAGATCGGTCGATAGATAGATCCGAACAGAGCGGAAGGCACCGCGGGGTCAAAAGCGCCATGTCGGAGGTCCAATCCCGAGAGAGGCTGCAGCTGCGTGCTCTTGGAGACCTCAGGAGGGTTTTAAACGGTTTACGCTCTCGCAACTCGGACTCCGCCAGACGAGGTCTCTCTGTGTCCAACTACGGACAACATGACTAGGGTTTAGGGTTTCGGCGCTCCGATTCGGACACTCCGGGCGAGGTGTAAGGTTCACAGTCTGATGAAGTGAGACTCAAAGGAGC